TAATGTGATAATCCCCTGCAATGAGTCGACATTGAAGTCTGCATATTTCTTGAAATCAGCATTCTTAGAATCATTTAGCAGCACTGTTACTAAAATAAGAAGCATTATCAAATGAATGATTATTTTAAAGGAAAATCAACAATTATTGGATGAGGTTGGGCAAAATATCGTGATTTGTCAGTGGGGAGCAGATCACTTATTTGCTGAAGCAGAAGGCTGAGGCAAATAATTGATCTGCAAGACACTGACAAATAACTATATTTTGTAATAACTGAGTTCAATAATTGTTTTATCATTGTTTGTTAATGACTATCTTTGCGAAGCGAAGCGATCTGCCATTTTCACTCAAGAGCAATCACAAGAAGGACAAAAGTGGTGGTTTCATTTACAAATGACTAGAATATTATTTACAGCCAAACACAGTTGGATGACATTGTGCATGTCAGCAGACCATTATTTGTAGGAAGTTATTTGCAGGTCACACGGTGGGCTCTCTGCCGATGAAAAGGAAGAAAAATTTGCAAAGAATGATAACAGCATTCGTCTGCCAAGCTAATTACTACTCTATCATCTGGGCCAGCTTGGGCAACCTTGATACTAAGATATCCTTTTCCAGTCGCTCTAGGGCATGAGACTCCAAAATGTGGTTGAGTCTGTGGGGTTAAGGGGATTGGAGCTTCACTAAAACATTCTTTTCACTAAATGTTTGAATAAAGATTTGGAATCTTGACTTTCCAGAGTTGTCTCCCTGAAGCTCTTGTGTTCTAAGCTAGGGGTTTTTTCAGACTCTAATAAAGTTATTGCAGTGGAACCCTCCTCTACAGACACCTGTATATAATGGTCAGTTTAGTTTGTTCTGACAAAATCTCTTCCCCAAAATTAGTAACCCGCTTAATATGCAGACACCATTCTAATCCAGACAATGGATACTTTTCTGTGGCTGGGCATCTTTGACTGCAAGCAGTCACTTAGTTTTCTTTGCTAAGTTACTGCACCCAAGAACGCGGACGGCGAAGCTGTAAGCTGCGATAAACGAGGGCATCAGCCAGAGAAGAAAAAGTAAGAGACTGCTGGCTCTTTTGTTCTGTCTGGTGACAACAAAGCTGACAAGGTAATTTAATTAACCAATTAAACCCAATTAACTTGAAACAATTTATAAATAGAACATAAACCACTGAAAATTTTTACTTTTTTAAAATCCAGTAAGATTGCCGTGAATTTCCTTCTGTACTTAAGGTATCATTAAACGTTTTAGTTTACAAGCCATTACCGCTAAGTTGGTAATTGTTTGTAGTTAGTTGTGACGCATGATTATTTTTATTGCTTGCATCTCCAAAACAGACCAGTCAATGATCTGTCAACAGCTGTAAAATTGACCAATCGGTTACTCCGTTTCTGGGCTAATGGAGGGTTTGTTTACTACAAAAGAGTCTGCAGTCTGTCTTTTCTCGTCTGGTCCCAATCCCTTTTGTGACATATCGTCGTGGTTTGCAATCGTGCTGGTTGAGATAAGAACTAGGCAGATTTTAAGAGAAAAGGCGGACTGCAAGCAGTCTAGCATCTCTGCACTGTCTATTTTCATTGGGTGCCAATTGTGAACATTATACCCTACTCAAATAATGAAAGATTTCTACAGACTGATACAATTTCACAGCCAAAAAACAGTAGTGAGATAGGGTGACAGGTTTTATTTTGTTCACTCTGTCTTTCCTCAGGTGTTTGACCATTGTACTGTGGTCCTTTATTTAAGTTTTCTGCCTCCTATTTAAATACACGAGCTTCACTTCCTTGGCTTTCTGCTTCAATCACTGCTCCGTTGTATCTCAATATCAACAAAAAATGTGTCTGTGCCAGGACGTTTTTTTCTTACAGCCCGCTTAATACAGACATAATGGCATGCCCCTTGGTGTCTGTATAACAAAGTTCCACTGTATTACTGTAAGAATGTGTACCTGAACCTGCATCCTTTCCACATTGTATATCATGAAGATGATCACCAACCATCACTACATTTCTTGGGTGCACTCCCCACTGCTCACAAATGTACAAAAGAGGGGCGGGGTCGGGTTTGGGTGGAGTAAAATCTCGCGTAAGAGACTAATAGGAAAAAGAAAACAAATCTTAAAAACATTTGTAAGGTGGTAATGTGGGGTTTGCATATTTTACTGGACTATAAGGCCAAACCTTAAAAACCAATGGCAGAGTTGATTAAAAATATTACAGCTACAGAACAGCAATGAAATGATAATAATATTATTATTTCAAAGCTGTTCTTTTTATTACACTAATATTGAACCAGTACACCATTTATGTTAATTGCCGAACAGGTCACACAAACAAACTATATTGAAAAGACATAAATACAAACAGAAATTAAAAAGCACTACCATGATGTCCCACAACTACTGTTGCAGTAGTTTAAAAAGAATGGCCAATACTGTTCGTCTGTCAAGTTGGGAGGCTGGTCATCTTCTGGATTAATACAGACTGGGACTGTCCATGTATTGACTGCACTGATTAAGGCAAATGTTTAAGTCTAGGGGACAGTAACAACTCATAAAGTTGACATTAGGCTAGGAGATAATAACGGCACCTTTGATTTTTTGGTTTTCTAGATAACATAATTTCTATCCTCACTTTCTACTCTTGCCAAACCTTATAGCGTGCCTGATACATTGATCTGCACAACATCCCAGTAACCTCTGTACAGTGAAGAGCTTTGATATAGATGTTGAAACCTGGGAGTGGTCACCTCTCCATAAATGAAATGGCCACCAATTTGCATCCCAACTGCGAAAATAGCCTCTCCAAAATAGTCATTCAGAAGTGAATGATAAAAAACTGACATACTCACTGTACTTTACTAGCTTTAGTTCATAACTTACTTATATAAAGTTTATACTGTTGTGTTCTAAACAAAGAAGTCATGTTCATTTGTGAGAAAGATTAGCTAGCAAGATTACCACTGTATGAGCAGAGCCTTTGTTCACTGATACTTTACGAAAAAGATTCTTCCTTACTCAAGAATAATTCTAATCCAACATGTGAGCAGAGACTTTTATTACTTCTTACAATTATTGTAAGAAGTAAAAAAGGCTCTGCTCACATGTTTGATCACTACGTATTTGGTAGAATGGTGTAGCCTGCAAAAACAGCCATCTCTCCACGCTGTTCACTGTTAAGAATGTTTCACAGGAGAGGTCTGCACCTCAGCAACAGAAATTAAATACTGATGATGTGAAATCTCTCTTTCCCGCAAAAAACCCAAGCAGCAAGGAGCAAGGAGAGACGGGCTGGTTTTGCATGCTAAGAATGCTGCTTACATGAGTAAATGGTCCACCATAATTAGCTGGATCACCCATCAAGTCCAGGAACTGATCTACAGAGGGCTGCAGATTTCTTGTGATAAGAGCTCTTTTCAATCCATGCTGTGACAAAAATTTGAGAAGTTCAAAGACACCAGGTTGAAGTTTTGTGTTTTGTCGTCCTTCTTCTTCAAACTTCTCAACCAACTTGAGGGCTATTTCTTTATCCCTCCCAGATTTTGAATTGCAGAATTCCAAAATGTCTGTTCCTTTAGGACACTGAAGGTTACTTCGAAGCAAAGTAAAATCCAAGACTGGTAGAGTAAGTGTACCATCCAAATCAAAGACAAATCCATGAACTGGCAAAAGAGTAGGCTGGTTCTTTGTTCCAGTTTTAATGGTCCTTCTGACGGAGTATGAAATTCCACTTGGGTTTTGATGTCTCAACATGGTGGTCGCCTTTTCCAGACACCTTACAACAATTCTGAATTTCATCCAGGATATAATGAAGCATTTATGTTTCCCACTCTAACACTAACGACATCAAACTTTCTGTCAAAAGTAATACAGGTTTTAGGATTAGTCAAAATATATGCTTAGCAAATGAGCACACTCAAGCACCTCAAAAGTACACGGCCATAACCATAGGGGTTAATTCTTATTCTTGGAAGATAATACACACAAGTGCTGATCTTTACAGAGTTCATAAGATATTCAGGGCTCAAAATCGTGACTTAATAGTCGCCAATGCGACTAAAATTTGGCTGCTGGTGACTACATTTTAAGAGCTGGTCATCAGTTGGTGAGTCATCTTCTGTTTCAAGAAGAAACCCCTTGTCCGGGATCTCTAATTACCGGTAATATAGTAATGCATCTCCCAGAGGTAAAACGAACTAGTGCTCTGCATTGTCCAGCAACTCAAACCCAGCATGAAAACATTACATTTTGTTAGAGGGAAGCGTAGATAAGGCAAGATTTACATTGACATGTTTTGCTTTATGTCACTTTGCTCCCGTTAAGATGTAAGACTTTAAAACGCCTTCTTACGTTCTTCTTACACATCTCCGTAGCTGGCTACTGCCACCGTTAAGATATTAGTCTTGTCTTTTTAACATTCCCCCTTCATTAGCTCGTCTGATCTTAGTCAATGTCTTCTTAATTTGTACCTTCATCGTTAGATCCAATAGTGTTAGTTTCTTGTCTTTTACGTTTACTTACTTGTTCGTTAATTCATCGTACAATGTTAGGCCAAAGTTGTATAGCCTGGTTAGCTCAGTTGGGAGAGCGCCAGTCTGCTGAGTGGGAGGTCGTGGGTTCGAACCCCGGCCGGACCAACACTCAGGGTCTTTAAATAACTGAGAAGAAAGTGCTACCTAACTCCAAATTCTCTCTTTGCTTTGTTTGAAAATAAGATAGTGGGTGGTTTTCCCCTTGCTGTAAGCAGCAGTCTAACATGGAAGTGCGAAACAAAAGTCAGGGGTTGGGGGTTATGGAAATTTTGGAATGCCCCCATAGGAGCTCCAGTCCGCATGCAAATTCTTTGTTATTGAAATGTCCTAAAATTCCTTTCTGGACTAGAAATTTCGTAGAAGATACTTTGCGTGAATTGCATCCTTAAGCTTTTATTTTCGCCGTTAAAGAAAACGAGCTTACGTCAAGTAGAGTAGCTATTATGTAACTTCATTTGTATGGATCTGTGGTGCCTTCAATCGATAATGGTTCAAAAACTATATGTATAGAGAGATTTACTCAATGTATTTAATGAGACAAATGAGCTCTAAGTCTAAGTACGTTTATAAGCATTTCAAAGTTAATTAAATACTGTGGTCAGGGCATAAGTTGCTGAGCAATTCAGCCCAGACCGTTAAACCAATCATTGTATGCAATCTGTGACTACGCTCATACATATATTTTTGGTCCAAATAAGCACTGTTAATAGTTTAGAAATGGTTTCGTGACTAGCTTAAATACCTTGATTGTAAATTACAGTATCGGCGACCGGCGACTACTGTACAGTCACTGGGATTCCATTGATAAGTTGGCAAGAAGTCGGGTTTCAGTTCGGCGGGGAGCTGGGCTCGACGGTGTCCACCCTACTTAGTAAAAGTTTAATTTTTAATTTCATTCATTTAGTTGTTCTAAACAAGATTGAAGACAGTCTGATGTTTATGAAAAGACGCTTTAATTTTATTCCCTTTATATGTAAAGAAAATTCTCTCAACAGTTTGAGTTTTTGCTTTGCTCTGTTATTTTGCCCCCTACGCCCTCCCCTCAAACATGTTTGATTATAGAGTTGCCCTGGGTCGAGTGGCGGCAAAAATGGAAGGCAAAATGGCTGAGGGAAGTTCTTCGCTGAAAGAGTGTTCCTCTTTAGAAAAACAGGAGGAAAGTGAAGGAAGAAGAATGGAATCATTTAGAAAAGTAATGAGAAAATGTTTGGACAAAATCATGGCTACTGGAAGGTAATAGAAGGGGTGTATGTATCGGCATGTGAGGCTACAAATGGCGAGCTGACTTGCTCTAATACATGCCGTGCTTAAATTCCCAAAGCTTAACTTTACTTAGATATAGGACTTAAACGTATTAAATCTTTTGTCATCTTCGCCTATCAGAGGTCGTAGTTTGAACCTGTTCCAAAGAGAAAAAACCTTTAAGTTAACGTTTTTCAGCGTTATTTATCAAGCTTAGTTCCGGGGGGTGGGGGAGGGGGAGAATTGCACCTCAAATAGGTGGGGATGTTCGTCTTCTCACGTAGGGATGTAAGTTACGAATTTTTGGTTCACTATAGGCCCTGTATTTATGGAGAAAAGTTGTTCCGGGAAAGAGGGTCACCCTTCCAGCTGAGTCAACTTAAGCGAGCATCTGTATGAGAAAAAGTTGAT